ATAGAAAATGAACTTATCATGTTTGCTTAATTTATTTTGTTTAATTTATTTGGTATAATTTTTAATTTTATTGTCTTATTTATATGATTTAAATGTAGTATGTTTCATTTTTTAATATTAAAATATAAGTATTTATCTAGTATTTATGTTTTAAAATATGAATAAATAATTTTTAATCATTAACCTTAAAATAATTAAAATTTTGAACTTCTATAAAAGTAAAAAATAAAAAACGGAGTGAGAGTTGTGAAAATGTTTATTTCAGTTATTTTAGTATTACAATAGATTAAAAAGTCTTTTATAAAAAATTTACCAAATAACTTTTCACTTTAAAAATACTTTTATCAAAAAAAAAAAAAACTTTACCAAACAAATTTTACTTATCAAAAATAAAACTTCTACAACAAATCTTTTCAAAAGGGAGTTCTATCAAAAGCAGCCAATCACACCAAATAGATTATAAATTTTGTTGCAATATTAAGTTTAAAATGTATTAAGGCTCAAAAATTAAAAAATTATTAAAACTTTTTTAGTGTATAGATAACTCTTCTATTTATCAACTTATTTTAATATTTTATTTTTTAAATTTAATTCAAATTATAATCTTATTTGAAGATTTTAATATTTTCGTTTTTAAATTAAAATAGTGATTATCTATTTACTTTTCATTATTAGCTAATAACTAAAAATTAGATTAATTCAAATTAAAAGTATTACACTTTATCTACAAAATAAATAAAACTGAAAATTTTTAATTAAGTATAATTTGAATCTTATATGAGACAAAATCTTAGATTAAATTATTTATTTGAAATTTAAACTTTATTTTATTAAATTTTAAATTTTAAATTCAATAATGGAACTTGTCATTAAAAAAAAAAAAAGTAGAACCACTTTTTTTCCTTAAATTAAGGAATAATTTATTAAAAATTGCTTTTAAAAACAAATTGAAATTAGTATATGTTTAAGTAAATGAGGATTGGAGAAAGGAAATCCATGGAAGTTAAATACACAACTCATAAGAGTTGATTCTCACTCATTCAAGATTTAAACGTAGGAATCAATTTGTTAAAAATTACTTTTTCCTTCAAAAACAAATCAATAAATATAAATTTAGAATAAAAATATAAAATTCCCTGTAGTATCAAGATAAGGACCACTAGTTATCATCAATTACTTTCATCGGAAAAAAGATTATAATCAATTATTGATTAATTACACATAACTATAACAAAATCATATTTAATAATCATTAACAGTTTTCATTGTTTTCATGCAACCCAATAAGGCAACAAGTCAATACACAATCAACCCATCTTTTCACCTTACCAAACATGAGATACAGTGGGATGGGACAAAATTTTTATCCCATCCCACTGTAAATCTGGCACTCCAAATGAGCTGTTAGTTATTATTAATTGATAAATAACTCTTCCAATTCCAGGTTCCCTACTCCATTGTCTGTTCTTCTTGAGGCCTGCGACTCGCGTTTCAGAATATACAACGTATGGACTACAGTTCAGGGCCCAGGCCAACACCACGCATGCATCCTATGCACCCATTTTTCGAATCTG